GGCTTGATGCAGCAGCTCTGACTCCTGGATCTCAGAGGTGGACGGCACCAAGTTGAATTCAGGCTTTGATCGCTAAGTGTTACATATCTCGGACATGTTTTGCATGTTGATTTCGGCTTCATTCGGCTTAGGGTTCAAGCTGCATAACCTGGCAAAGATGTAAGGGAAACTCTGCCAGGAGAGCCAATGGGACTAAGACTCGTACCGTCTCCTCCTATCCTCCGTCTCGCTGTCGCTTTGGTGCAGGGACAGCCGCAGGTCGGATTTGTACTCCTCCGCGGGCAGCACAGGAGCTTCCTCTGCTGCAGGAGCCTGCGTGCATCGCCGTGGCGCCGCGCCTTTTCTGCCGTCTCTTGCAGAAGAGGTGCAGTGGTTGCAAGAATCTCTCCCTCTCTCTCTCTCTCTCTCTCTCCTACCGTACCTCTTGCACAATTCTGACCACCTACCTCATGCACGAACAAGTACCCAGTGCTTCAGGGGGCCAGCAACCTCCAGCAACCAATCCGCCGAGGTGCGGTGTGGGCGAGGCCAGGGCACCAGAAGGCCCAAACCCCAAGCACGGCGGAAGTCGCCTTGGGCAGAATCCGGGGCTCGCCTTGGGCTCCCAGGGCCCAGGGAAGCCGGAGACCGCACCCAAAAGCCAGGGTCGGCTCGTGCGCCATGAGGATGGGCTTGCAGCATTCTTTGTCTGCGTCGTTTTGTCTTCGAAGAGCCCCAGGAACCCGAAAAACCTTGAGCCCTGTATAAGCCCGATAAACTCCCATATTCCCTTCATAAACCCTATAACCCTAACCCCTGAATCCGACAAGCAAGGTGCGTCTGCGGCTTGCCAGGTACACTACACACACATGGAACCCTAAACCCTAAACCCCAAACCCCAAACCCTAAACCCTAAACCCTAAACAGGGCAGGGCGATGTTGCGGCCGAAGGATGGGTTGGGTGGGGGGGCTGCTGCTCTCAGTCCTTTGACCCAAATCTGCTACAATGGATGGGCTCCAAACAGAAGCACAAGGCACTCACAACAAGTTACAGCCGTGATCACTACATCCCACTCTCCTGCAGGACTGGAGTTCGGCCCATACCATGGGTTTAGGGTTTGGGGGTTTTAGGGTTTCTGCGCGGTTCGAATTGCCACACTCGGAATGTTCCCCCCCCCCCCCCCAAATCCTGGACTCTCAGGCGCATCGAATCCTACAACATGCCTTAAACATCCTAAGCCCACAAACTCGCCCCAAACTCTATCTCCAAAGCCTTCGGATCCTCTACATCTGATCTTAAGCGCATCATCTACAAGTCGAACCCCCAAATCCTAAAGCCACAGCAAAAGCCATGCAAGGACTCCTATATACACCCTAAACCCTAAACCCTAAACCTAAACCCTAAACCCTAAAACCTAAACCCTAAACCCTAACCCCTAAACCCCAAAAAGTAAACCTCCCCTCCCTTTGGGAGGGACTTCCAGGGCTGGCGCTGGAAGTTGAAAGTCTCCGGCAACGCTGCCAGCCAGGAGTCGATAAGAGGCTGGAAACCTGCCGCAGGGGTTTGGGGTTTAGGGTTTAGGGCTTGGGGTTTAGGGATTGGGGTCTAGGGCTTTTGCTATTGGGGGTGGGGTTGAGGATCCGCCGACCCTGGTGGCGTGTTGGATGGTTTGGGGGAGGGAACCCTCCCCCTCCCTTGCACCCCCAAAAACCTTAAAACGAGGGGGGGGGGGGGGGGGGTGGGGTCGGTACAATTTTTCATGCAGGACCACGCCACCCACACGACGTATAGGCGGTTCCCCCCACCCTCCCCCCCTTTTTCCCCCCGCAACCCAGCCGCCCCCCCCCCACACACACCAGCCCACCCCTCCAGACTGTCCTGACCGACTCAAGTTCGGGGGTTGCAGCTTATTGGGGTTTACGGTTGGGGTTTAGGGTTTGGGGTTTAGGGTTTTAGAGGAATTGGGTTGTGGGCTCGCTTGATAAAAAGAACCTACAACCCTGGAAACCTGATGAATGAAGTCTCTTTTTCAGATGTGAATATTTCTCCAAATTGGGGTTCCCTTGTATCCCCCCATATGCTAGGAACCCCCGAAATGGCTTCCCTCCCATTATTGTCTTTCTGTTTCCGCTGTTTCCTGTCTGTTGATCTCGTACTTTGTGGTCAGAAAGTCCTTGCGCTCCCCGCCGCGTATGTGTCCCGCCATGGGTTCGGAATCTCTGTTTCACGTGGCTTATGGGACTTATGGGCAAGGTCGCTGGTGCTCGTGCCTGTATGCGTGTGTGTCTGTGTGTGTGTGTGTGTGTGTCGAGAAAGTGCGAGAGAGCGAGAGAAGAAGAGAGAGAGAGAGAGAGAGAGAGCGAGTAAAAAACAAAGATAAAGAGAAAGAGAGAAAGAGGAAGAGCGAGAGAGAGAGAGAGAGAGAGAGAGAGAGAGAGAGAGAGAGTGAGAGAGCGGGAGGGAGGAACAAACAAACAAAAACACAATATGTATATATGTATATATCTATATATATATATATATATGTACATACATGTAACTGTATCCGCCGACCCCAGCAACAGCGGGGCGGCGTCAGTGAAGACCCTCCCTGCCCTCACCGCAACCTCTTCCCCCTTCCCCTTCCCAACCATTCCACTCCACCTCTCCACTTGGCCTTGCCTTCTGCCCCTAACCTCCCACCACCAACCCCTTCCCCTGCCCCCCCTCTATTCCACTCCCCCTTCCCAACCATTCCACTCCACCCCTCTCCCACCTACTCGCCCCGCTGTTTCCCAATCCACGCCCGCCCTGACCGCTCCCCTTACTCCACCCCTGCCCTCCACCCCCCAACTCCCCAACCCACCCCACCCCCCCCCACCCTCCCCCCCCCCAACCCCTATGCCAGTGGCTCAGTTTTACGGGCCTGGGGGACTCCTATTTCGGATCCACGCCCCCCCCCCCCCAACCCGCCGCCCTTCCCCGTGGCTCATGGCCCCACAGTTTTACGGGCCTCTGGCCCTTTGCCTCTCTAGACTTGATCAGATGATTGACTTTAAAGACCGCTTGCCCCCACCCCCCCCACCCTCACCACCCCCCCAATGAAAGCCCGCTTCTCCCCCCCACCCCCCTCCCCCCCCACTCCCTTCCCCAATGCACTCCGACTACTTCCGCCCCTCAGCGATCCCCAAATCCCCAATCCCCCCCCCCCCCCCCCCACCCACCCCACCCACCATCACCGTCCCCGGCCAGCTGGCCATGGCCCTCAATGGCTCCATGCCCTTGATGGTCCTCTGCCCTGTGACTCGATCAGATGACTGAAAATGACTGAAAACCTGAAAGGGTTCAGCGCATGCCCGTCCCGCTCCGCTCCCCCACCCCCCCCCACACCCCCCAACCCCCACCCCACCCGCCCCCCCCCACCCCCCCCCCACCCCCCCCGCCCCACCCCCCCCACTCTCCGCCCTGCCTTCCACATCCCCAATCCCCCCACCCCCCACCCACCCCACCCCCCCAACCCTCCTCCCCCCCGACACCAGTGGCTCATTGGCCACCTGGTTTTACAGGCCTCGCCCTTGCCCTTTGCCTCTCTAGACTAAAGGCCCGCTTGCTTTTCGGGCCTCTGGCAAGACCCGATCAGCTGACTGACTTTAAAGGGCTCCGCCCGCCATCGCCCCTGAATCACCGTCCCCCCAACCCCCCCCCCTGTGCCTACTGGCTCATGGCCCCGGCCTCTGGCCCTTTGCCTCTCTAGACTCGATCGATCAGATGACTGACTTTAAAGGGCTCCAGTCATGCCCGCCCTCCACCCCTCCGCCCGCTCCACGCCCTTCCCTCCCACCACCCCGCCCCACCCCCCCCATCCCCCCCCCCCCACCCCCACCCCACCCCCACCCTCCCCCACCCCCAGTGGCTCATGGCCACCTAGTTTTACGGGCCTCTGGCCGCTGACTGACTTTAAAGGGCTCCACCCTTCCCGTCCGCCCATCGCCCCCTCACTTCCCTCACCATCACCGTCCCCCCAACCCCCCCCCTGGCCAGCTGCATTCCACTCCATCCTCCTCCCCTACCCTTCCCCTTCCCAACCATTCCACTCCGCCGACCCCCGCGTGCCGCCGGTGAACGGTTTTTTTTTCGTGGTTTTTTGCGTCGCCACGGAGGCCCCCAGAGGGCGCGCATCATGAGCATCAGCGGGTCCAGCCCGGGACCCCCAGGCGCGCATCAGGAGCATCAGCGGCTCCCGGGGCGGGACCCCGGGGGCGCATCAGGAGCATGACGCCCCCCAAAGGGCGGGCATAAGCGACGTGTCTCAGCCCGGGGCTAGGAAAAAGGGAGTTTAGGGGCCTTATATATAAAGTGCTTAGAAACGTTAAGGGAGTCTAGGAGCCTCAAACGCTTAGAGATTTGAAGGGAGTTTAGGGGCCTGAAAATGCTTAGAAACTTAACGCCTAGAGATTTTAAGGGAGTTTAGGGGCCTCAACATGCTTAGAAACTGCTCGCCCCGGGCTTCTGCGTGCGCTGCCCGCCCATGGGCGCAGCCCCTTAAAAATATAGATATATGCGTACACATAGCAAAACGGAAACACAAGTTTAACGTCTTCGTTTTGTGTTGGTTTCGACACCTCTGATGCTGTGGGCAAGGGAGCGGTGTCATGTCGAATGTTTCTTAGTACTGGCAATTCCAAGAACTGCCTTATAACGACCAGACGAACCACGCTTCCATCATTATGGGGACCACAGACCGTTCGGGGTTCATTTACATAATCACTGGGGTAGTGTTGCTTACGATCTAGGGGCACCGGGTGCGGACGCATGGTTCGAATAACCCTGAACCCGAAACCCTCTAAACCATACACACCCTAAACCCCATAAACCCTAAACCCAATAAACTAGAAGACATATAACTTATAAACCCTACTGAAACCCCTTGAACCTTAAACCCTATATTTACCTGAAACCCAAAAACCCTTTAAACCTTAAACTACATCACATCATCCACTTCGGCTTCTTCTCCCGCAAAACGGTGTGACAAGGGGACGTTCCTTTATAGGACGCCCGAAATCCTTGATTTCGTGGCACCCTAAAACCCTAAACCCTAAACTCTGGCCCTAAACCCTAAACCCTAAACCCTAGCCCTAGACCCCAAACCCTAAACCCTATACCTTAAACCCGAAAGCCCTAAACCCTCCTCCGAAAGACTGAGCCTAGGCTCTCTGGCTCCATGTAGATCATGCCTGGGTTGCGGGGGGACGAGGGGTTTTAGGGTTTAGGGTTTAGGGTTTAGGGTTGGGGTTCAGGGATGGGCTTCAGTCTGGGTCAAGCTTCAACACTCGCAGCTTGCAAGACTACTAGGTTCGACACCGCAAGCCCTAAACCCTAAACCCTAAACCCTAAACCCTAAACCCTAAACCCTAAACCCTAAACCCTAAACCCTAAACCAACCCTAAACCCTAAACCAACCCTAAACCCTAACCCTAACCCTAAACCCTAACCCCTAACCCCTAAACCCTAAACCCTAAACCCTAAACCCTAAACCCTAAACCCTAAACCCTAAACCCTAAACCCTAAACCCTAAACCCTAAACCCTAAACCCTAAACCCTAAACCCTAAACCCTAAACCCTAAACCAACCCTAAACCCCAAACCCTAAACCCTAAACCCTAGACTCGAGACCCTAGACCCTAGACCCTAAACCCTAAACCCGCAAAAGGCATCCCTAGGTTGTGAAGGCTCCAGGTGTTCTGCAACCTCTGCCGAGCCGCCGCAGCGTGAGACCGTAGCCGGCGAGGCCACTTCCAGATCCTGATTTCGGTAGGGCTTAGGGTTTGAGTTTAGGGTTTATGGTTAAGGTTTAGGGTTTAGGGTTGAGGGTTTAGGGCTTGGGGTTAACCACAAACCCCAGACACCAATATTCTGACCCTTCGGGTGTTCCGCACACCCTATAGACCCTATAGACCCTAAACCCTAAACCCTAAACCCTGAACCCTGAACCCTAAACCCTAAACCCTAAACCCTAAACCCTAAACCCTAAACCCTCCCCCTCCTCGACTTCGAACATCATCCGCATCTGCGGTGTAAGCGCCTTGGTGCTCGGCTTCTCGGCTTCGGGGCTCTCTACGGGTGGTAGGGTTTGGGGTTTCGGGGTTTTGGGGTTTTGGGGTTTTGGGGTTTTGGGTTTAGGGTTTAGGGTTTGGGGTTTAGGGTTTAGGGTTTAGGGTTTAGGGTTTAGGGTTTAGGGTTTAGGGTTTCTCGATGGGAACCCAAGGTCTGCTGAGGAAGGCAGATTACCTCAGTCATAGCAACTTAGGGAAGCTTACTTAGTTCTAAGGGGCATTGAAAGATCTGGGTTGGGAGCTCATACCATGCTCTTTGGGTCATGGCACCCCCCTCACGGAAACTAGGCTCCGCGCGATGATCTCGCCACTCACGAGGCAGAGCTTCTTGTTGTCGTCCAAGACGGTGTTCATGCTCCTCAGCATCTCAGGGACAAAGAAGCCTCACATTTCACATGTATTCCTCGACCTCCAGTGGTGCCTCTCCATGGGGGGGGGGGGGGGGGGCGGGGCAGGGGGATCGCCTAACCTTTGGCTCAGTCCAAGCGTCTCGATCCACAGCGCATCTACGGGTCCATCAAACATAACCTGGGCGATCACCAACAAGTTATCACAAGCAGGTTCCAAGAGTCAAAGAACAGAATCTCCATTGTGGGTTGTCGCGCGCCAGCTGTTGCAGTTGAGCTCTGAAAGCAACGTGACTTGAGAAGCCTGATGCATCGTAGGAACCCTAAACCCTAACCCTGCCAAACCCCACGAGCCCTAATCGGATTTCGACACCTTGTACCCAGACCACGATAGAGCAGCAAACGCAGCTCAGCCTGTCTCCTTCCAGATTCATGCACAGGTCTCGACCCGACGAACTCGAACTCCACAACCCCAAGCCAAGTAAATAAGAGTGTAGGGGTTCGGAACACAATCAGAACGGGTACTTCTTTTCAGCAGTTTGTACTAATGCTTGAGGGGACAATACTGGCAATGATTGGGCTCCTGTAACACACTTCGCAGCAAACCCTACACGCTAAACCTTAAACTCTACACCCCACAGACATGGGGCCCAGTGATGGTCCGGCTGTGCAGCGTCGCGCGTGGCATTCCGGATCTCCTTTGCAGTGCTCGCGCACGGGAAGAAGCACTTGGCAAGGTTTAGGGTTCACGGTTTAGGGATAGGGTTTAGGGCTTGGGGGGGGGGGGGGGGGGGCTAACCCTAAATCCGAAGCCACCAGGACAAGACCGCAGGGCCGAAAACGATTGGTTTCTTTAGCAGGTTCAGGGCCCCAGGGGAGCTACGTCATAACCCCCGGGTTCTAGATAATCCTTTTCAAAAGGCACGCAGAAATAGCCCTGAACCCAGCACCCTGAACCCTAACCCTAAACCCTAAATCCCTAGATCCCTAGATCCCTAAAGCAAAAATAGCCAAACCCTGAACCTAAGCCTGTCTCCACTCCATGGGCCCCCTGAAGCCCCAGCAGGTCGCTAGAGCTAGGCCTGTTGTTGGGTTTTAAGGAAGGTTTACAGGCAGGGTACAGGGTTCAGGGGTTGTCAGGTTTAGGAGTTTCCCTGTTCTTCGAATAACTCTATGGATGGGTCCTAAACTAAACCCCAAAGCCGTAAAGCCTAAACCTTAAACCCTAAACCCTGACCCCCGGTCCTCGGCAGCCACACCATCCGACCACTCGCGAGTTATCTCATCAAAGGAGCCATAGAGCCTGGGTGGGTTTAGGGTTTAGGGTTTAGGGTTTAGGGCTTAGGGTTTAGGGTTTAGGGTTTAGGGTTTAGGGTTTAGGGTTTAGGGTTTAGGGTTTAGGGTTTAGGGTTTAGGGTTTAGGGTTTAGGGTTTAGGGTGTGTCAGGGGAGGGCGCGCGCTCGGGTGTGAAACACCCCGTGCCGCGCGCTCGCGTTGCCCGTCAACCCACCCCGGCCACCCAATCTATACTCTATTAGGGTTTAGGGTTTATGGAATTTTCTTTCTTGTGCTCTGATGCTTGCTTTGATGTTTTTAAAGTTGCGCTGTTAGGGTTTAAGCTGGGGTTGGGGGTAGCCTCGGCCCTTTTTAGGGCCTTCGGCGTGTCAGGGCCCGTAGAAGCCCTTATTTATTTGAAGGTCAGGGAAATCCTTTGTGTCTGCTCCTGGATTCCCCTTCTTTAAGGGCCTCAATTAAGCATCGATTTCACTACCAAAAAATCGCATTTTTCATTACGGGTACGGGCATCCATCCTGGGGTCCCCCTTCTTTTAGGGGGCCTTTTGAAGCCTTTTAAAGCATTTTGGTGGCTCTTGGGCTCGGGGCCTTGTTCCGACCTTCGGCGTGTCAGAGGTTTTATTCATTTAAAGGTCAGGGAACCTATTAATGAGTTTTTCGCCAATGAGTATTTCAATCGCTAGGGTTTAAGCTCGGGTTCGGGGTAGCCTCGGCCCTTTTCGGGCCTTCGGCAAGTTAGGGCCCGTAGAGGCCCTTATTTACTTGAAGGCCTTCGCAGGGTTTTGCGGTGTTAGGGTTTAAGCTGGGGTTCGGGGTAGCCTCGGCCCTTTTCGGGCCTTCGGCACCTTAGGGCCCGTAGAGGCTCTTATTTATTTGAAGGCCGTCGTAGGATTTTGCGGTGTTAGGGTTTAGGTTGGGGTTCGGGGTAGCCTCGGTCCTTTTCGGGCCTTCGGCACGTCAGGGCCCGTAGAGGTCCTTGCTGATTTGGGGGGAGCCATCGATTTCAGTATTAAAAAAGCCACCCACACCTGCTACCCCCCCCCCCCCAAACACGGGTGCTGGGTCTGGCCTTTGTTCAACAAATTGCCCCATTTGGGTCCTGGTGCTACCCCCTACCCCCCCCCCACCCCCACGTTTCACAGAGGCGCGGGCGTTGCACAACTTTATGGGATTCTGCCGAGCAGGCTGCGATGCTCTTCGAACCATGCGATGAGGAAAGCATCCTTTGAGCCGACGAGCGGGTTTAGACCTTTCAACTATGCTCTGGCGGGGTCGGCGGCTTGAGCCGGAGGCTCTTAAATTTAGGGTCTAGGGTTTAGGGTTTAGGGTTTAGGGTTTGGGGTTTGGGGTTTGGGGTTTGGGGTTTGGGGTTTGGGGTTTGGGGTTTCGGGGTTTCGGGGTTAGGGTTACGGTTTAGGGTAGGGTCCAGGGTTTAGGGTTTCAGGGTTCAGGGTTCAGGGTTCAGGGTTTAGGGTTTAGGGTTTAGGGTTTAGGGTTGAGGGTTGAGGGTTTGGGGTTCGGAGGGTTTAAGGGGATACTTGGAACTTCATGGTGCTCATTAGCCAATGATACATGTACTTACAACTGTACTTATAAGCCTCTTAAGTGCCCTGCCCCAATACGGTGATAAGTACAGTAAATGGGTACAGCAATGAGTGCAGTTCTAATTGGTTAATGAGTACCATGAACCTCCAAGTAGGGTTCAGATATATAGACCTCCCCCCACCCCACATGCAGTTGGGTCTTGGGGGCACCGAATCATATAACAAAATTTGGTGCGAAAACACACTCGGGCATCCGTAGGTGACATTTGCTGGCAGCAGTTCTTCTCTGCATCAGCAATTTCGTGGCTGCACACTAACCTGCTGAAAATAATCGTAAATATGGGAAACAAAAAGCTATGTCTGTACATATGTATATATATATATATGTATCTGCATATAATATTTGCCCAAGATCTCTCGGGCCCCGACTGGTTCTGCGTAATCGACTTTGGATTCAGGCAGTGCACGTGGACCTTTCGCCAGGATGCTTTAGGCTCATGCAAGAGGGACCAGACAGTCTACACCCGAAACCCTCAACCCTAAACCCGAACCCTAAACCCATGCTCAGCGTCCTGTGCTTCAGGACCTCAGGGCAGAGCTTGTTTGAACCCTGAAATCCTGAAATCGTGTATCCCTAACCTTGACATCCTAAACCTCTAAACTCGCAGACCCTAAACCCTAAACCCTAAACCCTAAACCCTAAACCCCCCTAGCCCCCAACACCCCTAGGCTTGTGGATGAAAGGACACACTCGATTAGGGACATCAGGGTTAAGGTTTTACAGGGTTTATAGGGCTTGTGGGGTTGTAGAATTTGCAGGGCCTACAGGGTTTGCAGGGCGTCCAGGGCTTCTAAGCCTTAGGGGGCTGGGAACCTTGAGTTTTTATGGCGTTCGGGGTGATGGACTGGTGCTGGGGGCCTTGGAGTTTAGGGCGAAGGTTTAGGGTTAACCCTAAACCCTGAAACCCCAAACCCCAAACTCTAACCCCTGAAGCCCGAAAGGCTCTCTAGGGGCTATGGGTTATGGGCTGTGGGCTTCGGATTTTGGGGCAATCCGGTGTCTTGGGGGGCCTTCTGGTAGGGCGAGGAGTTCTTGGTGGGATCCATCAGGGATGTGCAGGCCCGCTGCAACCTGTGGCCACCAGGAGGCAATGTTTGTTCTCAGGCCAAAGTAGGGCTTAAAGACTTAAGGGTCTATAAGGTTAAAGGGTCTTACAAAGCAGAGGGTGCCAACGGAGATTTGGGGGTTTGGGAGGTTGGTTTTCAAAAGCCCACTTTACAGGGTTTAGCCAGGGGAAAAGGAGATATGGCAGTTCCATTCTTGGGGGTTCCTAATTTCATGTGTCCGTGCTGTATGCGAAAAAGCTTGCAACTAAGACTAAGGCTAAAAATCTACACCCCAAAACGAACTACTAAACCCTAAACCCTAAATCCTAAACCCTAAACCCTAAACCCTAAACATAAATGGAGCGAGCCCGGCTCTATCCGAAGACCACCCACCCTGTGGTCAGCAAATGCCTTGAGTAGCTTGAGAGTTCCGGCCAACCCCACATTTTGGAGTTGAACCTAAGCATGGCATGTGCCTTTAGCAGGCCTTACAACGCCTGGAATGTGAAGAGGCACCTAAACCCTGGCACCTAAACCCTGGACCCTAAACCCTGAAAACCTGAGCCCTGAACTGCTCAAGCACCACCGCAAGCAAGCACCAAAGCCACAACTCAGCATGTTTATATATTGTTATAACTGCTATATGAATAACCTTTAAAGTATGAAATTGTGATATCGTGGTACCATGCTACTATATGATTAGAGGATTGTAAGATCTTATATCATGCGCGATGCCTTTTCAAGGCTTGAGTGCTAGGGTCAAGGGGGTTCAGGTTTCAGCGTTCAGGATATAACGCATAACCCTTCGGAAAACAATCCGTAGCCTTCAAACCCTGACAGGGCTGCTTGCCTATTGAAGCAAGCCCTTAAATGTGCCATGATAAGCCATGATGGGTTTATCATCAGAGACAGCATACCCAGACCCAAAACCCTAACCTGAGACCAGGGCGATCGATAGCAGCACGTCTTGCCACCGCCAGTCGGGCCGACCAGCATCATCCCATGACCTGGGTTTAGGGTTTAGGGTTTAGGGTTTAGGGTTTTTGGTTTAGGGTTTAGGGTTTGGGGTTCCCTAAACCCGAATATCTCCAACCCTCAACTCCGCAACCCTAAACCCTACAACTGAAACCCTCAACCCTACGCCCCAAAAACTAAAACTCTAAGCCTAATCCCTAAAATTGCAAGCTGAAACCCCAAACCCTCGGCCCCAACCTTCTTGGCTTCCGGGCAACGTTGGAGGCCAGAACCCGCTGGATACAGGGTTTAGGGTTTTGTGTTTATGGTTTATAGAGTCATACCCAAGCCCAAACCAACCCCCCCACCCACCCCAATTCACTACTGTAATCAGAGGGGGTGTAGAATCAGGGGGGACGTGGAAACAGTGGAACAATCGCCAGTGATTAGGCATGCAGGGCCTAGGGTGAGGGTTCCCCCCAAGATGTTTTCGTGTTTTAAGCGTCCGACATATCAGGCTCCAGACTATCCTAGTAGGAACCCAAAAAACACCACAATTTAACCAAAACCCGCCTGTGGTCTTCCTACTACGACTTCAAAAAACCTTCCAGGATAGGGAAGAGCTGGCCTTCCCTGAAGCGTTGCCATCTCGGGACCCCCGCGCACTTGAATCATGTCCTCGGGAAGTTTAGGGTTTAGGGTTTATAGGGTTATAGGGTTTAGGGTTTCGGGTTTTTATTCTCGACGGAGCTTTTGCTTGGTAGCCCAGTAACCATGTTAGTATGAGGGCAGCCTTTTTGGTGGGTCGGGTATTCTATGAGGGAACCCATAACCAAAAAGAAAAAGGCAAAGGGTAGCACCTGGCTGCCGAGTTTCTAAGGCAGACAATTGCGGGATGGGTTTTGGGTTCCTGGTGGTTGAGTATGCTTTACACCCAAGTCCTGAACCCTATAAACCCGTTTAGGAATCAGGATCCTCAACACAGGACAGGGTCGGGGAACACCAGTCGGAGTCGAGTGTCGAAGAGCTCGAACTGCTTCTTGACAAAATATGGGGTCGGCTGCAAGGTCTGCGACAGACCTCGGAAGCTTTGGGGTTTCACGGGTTCAGGGTTTTCTGAGCTGCTCCTCTTGGAATCCGATGAAACGGTATGGCATGTAGCCAACTTTACAGCACGCGCACATCTGGAGAAGAAAGGGGCTTGTTCTAAACCCTAAACCCTAAACCCTAAACCCTAAACCCTAAACCCTAAACCCTAAACCCTAAACCCTAAACCCTAAACCCTAAACCCTAAACCCTAAACCCTAAACAGGTTTATGGTCGGCAATCGAGGCTACAAGGCAGTGTGGCTTCTCTCAGACTCCAGCTCTCCGCGTGGCATGCTTCATCCAGCCTGCTTGGCGCCGCCGGTTTTGGGGGCAGTGGCTGTGGACTCTTGGGTACTAGAGTCAGAAAGGTAGTACCGTTCAAATAAACAATCATATGGCTAGTGCGACAACTATAACTAGCCGAACCCCAGCCGGAAACTACATTTGACATTTGGGCTTTCAGGACTCACGGGTTCTGTTGCCCTCGTTCCCGCTGGTGGCTTCACATCGAGATTGATCCCAGACAGAACCACCAAGCCGCTAAGCCACAAGAGGGACGCGCAAGGACTGCTTTCAAGACGGCCTACACCCTTCTCGGGTGTAGGGTTTAGGATTTAACCCTAAACATAAACATCCCTAAACCCAAAACCCTACACCCTAAACGCTAAAACCTCCTCCACAGAAATCACCCGACATGGCACGCCTGCCGTAGTCCATCTGGGGACGCTCCACCTGGCCAGCTCTTCAGAGCCACCGGCTCGGATGACACCCCAAAGACACCCCGAGAGAAACCCGTTTAGGGTTTAGGGTTTAGGGTTTAGGGTTTAGGGTTTAGGGTTTAGGGCATCCCGAAATCCAGGCAGAGGAGGAAGCCTCGCCCTGCTTTGAAGGGGCTAAGGCTTTCAGCCCTCATCCGGCCAAAAAAAACACATGCCGAGCAGGCCCCGGGAAAGAGGTCTGAGATGATGTTCTCGAAGAGTGGCAGGTCGTCCTTCAGGAACTTAGGAACCTCAGCAGCTGCTGCGCTGCAGTCGGTACTCTACTGCCCTTAGGCTTAACACAGCCAGCCGAACCTGATCTAGTATCCTCTTAGAGGATAGGGCATATAGGCGTCTAATTCCATAAAATTCCCTCTTAAGAACCGGTTTAGGTGGTAACGCGCGGTTAAGCAGAGACCCGGCAGTGGTGTAGGGCATCGGCGTTGACGTCCCGCAAGGCTCGCAGAAGGATCTGTGACCTGAACGGGTTTAGGGTTTAGGGTTTGGGGTTTGGGGTTTAGGGTTTGGGGTTTAGGGTCGAGGAGGAAGCTGGCTGCAGGATCATCGAACGCAGTTGATGCATGTCATTTATGTCTTGCGTGGAGACTTCGAGCCCGGGCCCTAACTCCCTTGTATCATCGCATCCGCATGCGCCAAATCCTGAAACCAGCTGCCCCAAAACACGGGCAGGGCATGAGCCTCGGGGTAGGGTCTAGGCATTCTGGGAGGCAGAGTGGTTGAAAGATGCATGCTGATGCCGAATCCCAAGAGGCAACCATACCCAACACCCCCCCCCCAGACCTTAAGCCCTGAACTCTAAAACTCTAGCCCCAAGCCTTACCCGGACGACAAGGCTTTCAGAATCCAGGGTATTTCTTTAATTAAGGAGCCTCAACTCGGAATGACCATCCTGTCGCCAGTCCTCTGCAGAAGCCCGAAGCCCAACTCCACATTGGCCCCTTAGAGAGGCCACTTTAAAGCTGCATCCATTCTCCCAAGGCATCCGCTCACTCTGATCTGGGTACTGCCTCTTGTTCAATCCGGCGGCCTGCGAGGAGAAAAAACATGGGATACTACCTGAAGCTGCTGCATGTCGCTGGGTCTAAACGGTTTAAGGGTCCAAAGAATTGAGGGTTTTGAGGGATGAGGGTGTCGGGTTCGAGAGCCAGCAACGCAGGGTTTCGAGTTGGGGAAGTAGAGGTTCAGGGTTAGCACGTCCCCCCCCCCCCCCAAAAAAAAAAAAAACAAAAAACAACAACTTGTGACCCAAACAACCCTGCACACCCCAAACCCTATGAACCCTAGAATCCTAGAAGCCCTATGAATCCTGTAACCCCTGAGAGGCCTACAAATCCCATAAACGCTATACACACAGAGGCCTACAAATCCCATAAACGCTATACACACACCCCAAGCACCTAAACCTCAATTAAACCCGAAATCCGACCCTGAAACCTACACCCTAAAACCCTAAAACCCTAAACCCCCGATCCTCAACCCTCCCTCAACCCTGCGCGAACTAACTTCCCCAATTAGATCGACTCCACGCTTGGCAGCCGCCTCGATGACCGTCTTGACGGCCCTCATCCCATAGTCCTTGGGTTTAGTTTCTACTCTTTTATTGCTTTGTTTTTGCCTTTGTTACTGTTTTGTTGGGGCTTTTGTTGATTTTTAGTTTTGGTTGGGGGGGGGGGGGGGGGTTTGGGGTTTGGGGTTTGGGGTTTGGGGTTTGGGGTTTGGGGTTTGGGGTTTGGGGTTTGGGGTTTGGGGTTTGGGGTTTGGGGTTTGGGGTTTGGGGTTTGGGGTTTGGGGTTTGGGGTTGTCTTTTTTTGGGGGGGAAGGGGGGGGGGGTTTAGGGTTTAGGTTTTTTTGAGAGGGGGTGTTAAGGGGGCAATTTGGGTGTGTAGCGTCTCAAGGGCGTGTAGAGTTTAAGGGCTGGATTGCTTAAGGGCCTGTCGGATCGTCTCAGCCTAAACCCAAACCCCAGAACCCTACAATCAAGACCCGCCCGGAACCGGCAGAGACCCTCAAGGTCCCAGCATAGTGTGATTGGGCAGAGAGCTGTTCGGAGCAGAGCTGGAAAGTGGTCACCTGAGCAACTCTTGCTTCGGCTGGGGAAAGAAGCTGTCAGGTGTGAGGGGTTTGGGGCATCCGCACGGCCCTGATAACTTCAGGGTTTCAATGTAGAAACAATGGATGGTGTTGAGTCTTGAGGTCCGGGATATGATATTGTGTAATCCGGATATTTATCTTGAAAAGATGCATGCTAGGCCCTATAGTGTTCATAGGGCTTAAGGCTTGTGAGCTTTGTGCAGTTCTTATGCGCCTGTGCTTGGGGGGGGGGGGGGGATGTGCCAAAGGCCGACTTAAATCGACAACAATGCCTGTATACACCCTCAACCCCACATTCCCAAATCCCCAAAGACCCCAACCCTGAACCCCAACCCTACCCTAAACCCTAAACCCTAAACCCTAAACCCTAAACCCTAAGCCCTTTGTTGGCATCCAGGACTCTCACAGATTGCTGGGGCGACCCTCAACCCTGAAACGCTGAGAACCCCAAACCCCAAACCTCCAATCCCAAACCCTAAACCCTAAACTCGAAACCCGAAACCCAAAACCCTAAATCCTAAACCCTATAACCCTAAACCCTAAACCCCAAACAAGCAACGCTGAGCCGCGCACCATCTTTTTGGCCAGGTGCCTTCCCTTCTCGAAGCCGAAGGCGTAGAAGCTGATCTCACCAATAAGGCCTTGGTTCCCAACGCCGTCTCCCCCAGGGTGGTAAGGTTCAGGGTTTAGGGTGGTAGGGTTCAGGGTTTCGGGTTTAAGGGTTTTAGGATGTTTTAGAGTTTCGGGTTTAGGGTTTGTAGTGCTCATCCCCAAAGAACACCCCCCCCCCCCCTATGTACACTCACCAGTGTATGCAAGCAACCCCTATGTACACTCACCAATACCAGAAACACGAACCCTCCATAGTATGGGGTGTAAGGTTTAGGGTACATCGGGTAACATCTTGGTCGCAGGCCGTAGTCTGGAACCATCATCGCCTCGAGAGAATGGTGACAGTAGTTCCGGCAAGAGTTGAAGTAGCCAACCTAGCTCCCAACCCCCCTCTAAGCCCAAACCCTGATTTAGGGTTTAGGATTTAGGGTTTGGGGTTTGGTGTTAAGGATTTAGGGTCCCGAAAGCCCTAAATCCTAATGACCCCCTAAACCCCGCAGCTGTGCCCTGATTAAGGGGTAGACCTGAACCCTGAACCCTCTTCGGCCCTATATCAATACACCTTACACTAAACAAAACAAATTCAACCCCCAAACCTTGAACCCCCCCAAAAAGGCAACGAGCCCCTAAACCCTAAACTCTACACCTTACGCCCTTAAGCCCTGAACCTCATATAAAACCTTCAGCCCTATGCCCTAAACCCTAAACCCTAAACCCTAAACCCTAAACCCTAAACCCTAAACCCTGAACCCTGAACCCTGAACCCTGAACCCTAAGCACTGTAGGCTCGGCACCATGGGCCGGAAGAGAGCTGCGAGGTTGTCGGGCAGCTCGGATCGTCCGGCCTTAGTGCTTTAGGGTCTAAGGCTTGGGGTTTAGGGTTTAGGAGGGTTTGGGGTTTAGGGTTTAGGGTTTAGGAGGGTTTAGGGTTTAGGGTTTAGGAGGGTTTAGGGTTTAGGCTTTAGGGGTATAGAGCTTAGGGTGCACAAAACTGCAGCCATCGCATTTAAGGAAAGAGGGTAGGGTTGCAGGTGGGGGGGGGAGGAAGTTGGGGCGGGGGGGAAAGGGTCGCTTGGGATTGAAAAGTGGCCCAACACACGAAGTTGGCGGAGCCGGTCTGACCAAGGCCGAAGCGTATCCAGGGTTCATGGTGATGAACACGTTGAACCTGCTGGTTGAGACCCTAAACCCCAATCACCGATCTTAGCCTACCCCCCCAAAGCTCTGAAGAAGCCGTTAAGCTCCTTCTGGGCAACGGTTGATCTAAGTTCAGGCCGTTGTTGTGTCTGAGTTCCTCAGTTCCTCATGACCTCATGTACCTGTTTATGATGTTTGGGGTGTATTTAAGAACGACGTTCCTGATGGCTTTTGGGGAACGGTCTGGGATGTTGGCAAAAGATCTGCTGCGGTCAGAGCCAGCTTCGGGAGGGATACCAGCTAATATAGGGTCCTTGATAATTAGATTAGGTTTTGCTTGGATTTTTTTTTTTTTTTTTTGGTGGGGGGGGGGGGGTGGGGGGGGGCGGCGGGGGGGGCGGGGGGGGGCGGGGGGGGGGCGTGGGGGGGGGCGGGGGGGGGCGGGGGGGGGGGCGGGGGGGGGGCGGGGGGGGGGCGGGGGGGGGGGGGGCGGGGGGGGCGGGGGGGGGGCGGGGGGGGGGGGAGGGGGGGGGGGGCGGGGGGGGGGCGGGGGGGGGGGCGGGGGGGGGGTTGCTATGATAGTATAGTTATATATAGGGATCGTAGGGGAATACTAGCAGTAAGTATTCCGACCCCTATAGTATTCGGACGAAGGGATGGATGGAAGGATAGAGAGCAGGAGACGGATATCACGGAACAAAGCTCGCGTTAGAGTGAGAGGGCCCGAAACCCGAAACCCTAAACCCAAAACCTGAACACTAAACCCGGTGCTGCGCAAACGACCACGGCAACTGATTGCCGAGGAGGGGCGTAGGCTTCATGGTGATCAAGGTACCATCGAACCTGTTAAATCTAGGGCTCAGGCTTTGGCTTTAATTAAGGGGTTCTGTGCTAACCCCCAATTCTAAACCCTGAACCCTGGTTCCCCTCCTATAAGCCCCAAAATGCCCTGCTATAGGTTTAGGGTTTATAGGGACATTTGCGGGGTTGAATATTTTGTTTATGTTGAGTGCGTTGTGGGCGGGGAGATCTCAGGGCGGAAAGTCCGGTGCTCAGTCAAGGCTTCAAGTACAACTTGGACAGTGTCTATCTTCTGCTGGGCTCTTCTGGCGGAGTCACCCCTGAACCTAACCACCTGTTTTCGGGGGCTCCCTTATTCTCCACCCTCGCAATGTGAGCAAAAGCGGTCTGTAGACCCTGGACCCTAGACCTGGTGGTTTGGGAATTCAGGGATTAGGGAGGGTACCTGATTCATTCCTTCGTAAGAACCAAGTTAAACACTCAAATCCTAAAATATCTACAAACCCTGCAACCCCATGAACCCCCGCAAGCCGCATGCACCCCGTAAACCTCCACAAGCCCTATGAACCTCTAATCCCCTAGACCAGTCCCCAAAGAGCTCTGACCCTGAAACCCACAACCCCTAATAACCCTAAAATGCCCTAAAACCCCTAAACCCTAAACCTAAACCTAAACCCTAAACCCTAAACCCTAAAAGAGCTCTGGGCCCCCAATCTCCAGCTCCGTGGTGTCGTTGTATGACTCGATCGCCTGCTTTGCGGAGAAGAGCTGGAGCCTGGAGGTTGCGCGTGGAAGGCTTGGGTGGGTTTTTGGGAAACGGTTTAGGGTTTAGGGTTTAGGGTTTTTGGGGTTTAGGGTTTAGGGTTTTAGGGGATTTAGGGCCCCTAAACTCTAAACCCTGTACCCTAAACCCTGAACCCTACACCCCTTTCAAAAGTATGTTGTCGTGGCACCGAGTACCACAAAGCACTCCACCAGGATTTTTCAAAAAGATTTCGGAGGTGGGGAAGGGAACCCGATATAATCTCTTAAAGGGTTAAGGGTTTAGGGTTTAGGGTTTAGGGTTTGCAGGGGATCTCAGGTGCCTAATTCCTCATTTAACTGGGGCTACAAGTATCCTCGTATTTGGGGGGGGGGGGGGGTCTTAAAACAGCTTCCTGTCTATCAGTACCCATGAACCTGGGGTGTGGGGGTTTGGGGATTTCTGTGGTTCTAGGGATTGAGGCTCTTGGGCTCCTAGGGGCGTTTAAGGTTTTGGCAGTGGTTTTAAGTTTCGGGGCTCTGGATATCATAAGGAGTGTTTCTGGGATTTTGTGGTTCTGTTTAGGGGCACTAAAGGGGCATTGCTGTGGTGCGGTAGAGGATGACCGCACTCCACCAAGCTCCCCTGGTCAAAACCTACCTTACATGATCCTTTGCAGCAAACTATACTCCGCCGCAGCCTCCGTCGGAACCCTACACGTTGTGTATGTTTTGGGATGTTCCCCCATATACTACTAACAGTCCTTAATAGGGATTACAATAGGGGGAACTATAATCCCGATTAAGGACGGTTAGACAAAGGGGGGAACATCCCCATGTATGTTCCTTTCTTCACCAACCTACAAATAAATAGGGCAAGCACTGCCGAGTGAACTGATCGCCCACAAGGGTAATTCTCTAAATTAGGTTCCCTTTGTGGGCCCCCATATAGCACGGCACCTCATAAAGAGGACTACCCACCAGGGCTCTGAGGGCCCGGACAGCTGCTGCGCGATGACGCTCAACACCTCAATGTAGATGCGGTTGAACCTGGCAGAGAGCGCCTATAGGCCCTACACCCCCGAAAGTCTTAGACCCTCTAAACGCCCTGACAAACCCTAATCCCTAATCAAACCCTAAGGCCCTAGTTGGATGACACTAAAGAACCCTAGAACCTCAAATTCCGAAACCCTAGATCCCTAGAACCCTAAAAGACCCAAACAACCGTAAATAACCCGAGCGAACCCTACAAGACCTTGAAGAACCCCAAAACCCTGCAACCCTGAATAACCCTGAAACCCCAAATAATCCTAAGTCAACCCTACCCCCCCCCCCCCCCCAAACCCCCAACCCCAAACCCCAAACCCTAAACCCCAAACACTCCGAGCGGCTCGTCGAAGCAGCACCAAGCTCCCGAGGAGGCCAAGCCTGGC